TTCCGTGGGCTTTCACATCTCCAATGGCAAAGAGCCCGAGGTTTCTTTCCAGTGCTCCTATTGAGCTTGGACTTGGCTTTTTTTACGCCCCCACCCGTATGTCCAGAGTTACATACACTAGTCTGCAGATTTACAATGCAATCCCCTGAAATGGAGTCGACAATGCTCAGATTGACAAGACTATCTGAGCCTCTGGAGGCGCAAACACATCAGGTCTATCTATCTGCGCTCTGATGATGGCTCTCGAGACAGCTAGATCCATTGAGCTAGTTCTGTCCTGGTTAATGAGATGCATGAAACTAGGATGCATTTGTTTTTGCTCATTCGTCATTCCTACCACCTACAGCTAGTGTGATCCATTTGATCTAATCTCGCCAGTCCTGCGCTTGGCAAGTAGGGTCGCATGGATACCCTTTCAATCAGTTGCCTCATTTGAGGCTACCTTTCCCGATTGGCTTCCCATCCAAGGGGTGGCTCAAGTTGTTATATGGAGACGAAGTCTTGTCACTCAGAGACTCAACTTCATAGCAACCTGCATGGGCATTCCTCTTGCATATATACTAACCCTGGAAATAGCTTTAATGTGTTGTTTTGTTTTGTTTTTTTCAGGACACCTGTTGTAAGCACATATTTTATTGACAGCTCTGGAGGCCGTTATTAAATGTCTTGATTCATTCCTCTGTCCGATTTTTATAATAACCGATGCGGATGCGCCTAGTGGTGGTCATAAGGACATTTTATCAATTAGAAAATAGAGCCGTATTCCTCGCTCTCTTGTCAAGGATCTAGTATAAAGTGATGCTTGCAATGGCAACACTCCGGTATTATCAGAAGGGTGGCAGTGCAGCTGTACACGTTGACCTGCTTCATCCAATATTGCCTAGCAAAAGATAGGACCAGCTTGCGTGCAGGTACAGAATCCCAGCCTCAATAGCGAGCAAGCAGGTTAGCAGGATAAGTGACTATTTTTGCATATTGCCTGCGTGTCCCCGGGGAACACAATGGCGTTTCTGAGCTCTAGTGTTTGTAATTAAAAGGATGGCATCTTTGGGCTAGAGTGTACGGGAGAAAATCATTTTCACAGCACCTAGAGGGCTTTGGTGTCGTGCTTGCTGACAGATGGAGAACCTTTCTGAAGGCTCCATAACCTTTTGCCCTCTGAGACTGTACTTTTGACACTGCAAGATTGGGATGATATAGATGTTTGTGCGCGGCTGATAGCGTGGTGATTTTTAAAACAATGAGGATTTTATTATGGTATTATAATGAACTATATGCAAACTACGAAACCCTGACAAAGCCTCAGTGTCACCGGTGAGAGTAAAGCATAATTGCTCAGCAGCTAGTGTTTTGCTGAAGGAGACTTCTGTGTTGCACAGCAATCAGATATAGAGAAAAAAGCCAGCAGGTGAGATTTCACATGCTTTCAGATCTTGACCTCAGGAATGTCATGCCACTTTTCTTCCATACATCTTTTTTACGTATAGATCTTTATGGGGAAAGTGTTTAAAAGCGAGGGAGAGAGAGGGAGAGGGCGAGAGAGAGAGACTTCATTCACATTCCAAGTCTGCTTTCTGTCTCACACGTATTAAATTTCACAAAACAGAAAGAAACAATAGAGCTTATTAAGAAAAACTTGTTTTGAATGGCAAATTAAGCATAATAGAAATACACACGTTTTTACAAGTACTTATTTCTTTTCACCAGTTGAACAGTTCTAACCTTTTTGAAAGTATATACAGTACTTGTCTCTGCAAAATGTTTCTGTTTTAGTTCGTTTTCACCACGTCACCCTGTTGTATACATCTGTTTTACAATTTTAATTCGAGCATTTCAGAATCCCTAATAAATCCGAGCACGTTCATTCTCTGGGCAGGTATTAACCACATGAGTTTAATACCCCCGAAGCAATTAGGAGCAGCCTCAGTTCTGGTGCCTCCGTTCAACATCTTGGAGCTGCAATGCACCTCTGCGGATAAATTGGTGTCCAGTGTGAATCCTTAGACATGGAAATAATGACTAAGATAATTCCCTGGGTGGAATCCACAGTCTCAGCATTCGTCTTTACCGCCAGTATTCTTTCTTTCTGTGCATCTTAACACGATATATGTTAAACAATCTTGGAAAATTATGTCAAAGGAAGTAACAGCCAAATAAGCCATATGTTCGTGGAACATAACCGCTTTGCACTGGGGATCAAACCCCGCTCACCTCTCTGTCCTGGCGTGCAAATATTTAAAACAAAAATCCTTTGGAGATCAAATGTAAAGGGAGACAAGATCTCATTGTTTTCCCATCGCTACATTCAGAAGCACAGACCGTCAGCTGCTTAGCACAGGGGGCAAAGGTTAGCGCGGCTGCCTCCATATACTGTATACGTATCTCCAACTCGCCTGTTCTCGATATGCATGCCGCTGGGCATCTAGTGTTTTTGAAAAACTTCCTAAGCCTACGGAAGTCTGGTGCTGAGCCCTGCGATGCTCTGGACTGCTCCACAGCCCAGCTCATGGAGCGATGTAGGGACTTGTTTTCGCAGCCTGCGATGTCAGCACGCCACAGACTCATGACAATCTTACCATCTGCATGCTCGGGGAGACTCTCATCAAATATTCTCAAACAGAGGCTTAGCATCCAAAAATCAAACCACCGCCCAGCACACGCACACGCGAAAACAGCTAAGGAGCTATTTTAAGCAGGTTCACCCCGGAGTAGCAGGTTCCTCGCCCCGGGCCCGTAACAGTTTAGGCACTTTTCTTTGTTCGCTTAACCCCACACTTCTCATCTCAAGGCGGGCACACGTTACGCGAAATCCCTCTCGTTACACTGACTGAGAAGGTACGGCGAGGAGCGTGTCACCTAATCTGCGGAGAATGCACTTGTGTGCACCACCGCAGGGTCCAGCCCGCAGCGCCGGGCTTCCCCGCGTACGACCGGGACTCTCCCCGCGGCCACGGCCGCGTCCCGGGAGCAGGGGCAGGCACGGCCGCGAGCCGCCTCCCCTGAGCGCGGGGGCGAGTGGCTCACACGGGCTCCTGCAAGGCAGGCGGCATCAGCATGTTTCCCCTTAACACAAAAACACGCAGTTTGTGTCAATCTGCAATAAATAACATTTTCACGTTAGGGAGAAGTGTATAGTCATCAAAATCTTGAGGGGCAGGCCGGGAGGGAAACTGAGAACCGCGCCACGGTAAACAACCCGGCGCGCGCGGGGGCGAGTGGCTCACACGGGCTCCTGCAAGGCAGGCGGCATCAGCATGTTTCCCCTTAACACAAAAACACGCAGTTTGTGTCAATCTGCAATAAATAACATTTTCACGTTAGGGAGAAGTGTATAGTCATCAAAATCTTGAGGGGCAGGCCGGGAGGGAAACTGAGAACCGCGCCACGGTAAACAACCCGGCGCTCATTCTCCTGCCTCTCCCGCG